GGAAATATGTCACAACTAAATCATTCAATAAAGTTCACAATGCTCTTGTTTCAAGTGTCAGCATTCACACACCAGTTGAAAAGTGGATGAGCTTCCCTAAAATGGACCATCTTATAGCAAGTGCATATGAGATGATGTGCATCGACTTGATGAGATATGGTTTTTCAAAAACCTTTTTTCCTCTCTGCACTCTCCCGCATGAAGATCCATCCAGCCGTATTATGTCTATTGGGTACCTAAGGTCACAACATTTTGTTCAGGTTTATTTGAGATCGGGGTGTTCTATTCCAGCTACATTCGTGGAATGGACGACACATCATGCAAAAGAGGCAGAAACTCGACCGAATCAGTTTTTAGAAAAGATGGTAGAATTCTCCAATTTGACGAAGCTCGGGAGAGAATCAAATAGGGAGAAGTCAAAAAAAGATCCAGTTTTAGATTTAAGCGGTGACAATTTGTTCGGTGCATTTTAGAATGTAATTGAATCATTTGTTGAATGTATTGACGAGCATATTGTAAAATCTATGTGTTTCAATACATATATAACATATTATCTATATTTAGTTTTACATTTGTTTATGTTTTCCATGTCTCTTTGGTACAATTAATGATTCTATTTTTGGTTCTGCATAATTCGAAAATGCACTTCCGAATTAACCTTGAATTTAAAAAAAAAACAGCACATGGCTTATTTTGCATATGCACTTTCGAATTCACCTCCCATTTCTATAAAAAAAATGGTGTTTTCGGATGTGAACTTACGAAATATGTCCGGATAAGATTTCTTTGGTCAATATTGCTCCAAAAAGGCTATAAATTGAGTCTCCAAACCATTTCATTCTCCATCACAAACCACAATCATAAATTACACAGACATATCCACATCTTGCTTTTGTCTACTTCAGTGGTGCACAAACGCCACTTCAATTCAGGTTCTCGCAAGATATATCATTTGTCGAGCTCATTACGATACTGCATCCTCTCTTGCAATATTCTAAGAATCGAAATGTGGTCAAGCTTAAGTATCGTTCACCTTCACTTGACACTGAAGGAAACGTAAAGTTCGCCCTGTTTCAGCTGAAGAACGACGACGATTTAGAGGTTATGTGGGGTACCTTTCAACAATACTCTTCTAAGAATCCGATTGAGATGAATGCGAAGCTTCAAAGATCGGCAAAAGATGTTGCAACGTCCTTAACTTCCCGTTTATAATAATATGTAACTTTAATTTTCTGTATAACTATTTATGTAATTGCTTTGAATTATGTTGAATGACTGTTATGAATTATGTTGAATAATGTTGATTGTTCTGCCCAGAGATAAATTCGGATATACATATCCGAAATAAGATAACAGGTAAATTCAGATATGTATAATTGAAGTAAATTTAATAAATCACGTTGGTGGTGCGTTCAGATATACACTTCTGAATTCTGGAGGTATTTTGGATTTTTCGACAAAGGTCTAGAAGGAGTATACAAGGCGTATATATATATATATATATATATATATATATATATATATATATATATATATATATATATATATATATATATATATATATATATATATATATATATATATATATATATATATATATATATATATATATATATATATATATATATATATATATATATATATATATATATAATTTCGTTTAGTAATGTTTGTGTTACTCTAAAGTTATTTTTGACTCTATTTATAATACAATAACAACTAAGCTTTATCTCAGTAAGTGAGATCGGCTACATGATCAAATTTCGATGTAATATTCTATTTAAAATTATGTTTCTATCAAATTCTTTAATATCGGGATATTTCTTAATAGTTTTCTAGGTATTCCTCTTCATATAGTTGTTTTGGTTACTCATTATCAGATATACTCTTTTTATAACAAAATCTACAGGTTTTTTTTATACATCTCCAAATAACCTAAGTTTATTTTCTATAATATTTTATACTATAGGTGTCACCCCAACACACTCTCTAATATTGTCATTTCTAATTGTATTTCGTCTAGTCCTACCACATATCTAACAAAATATCGTTATCTATACTACACTTACTCTATTCTCGTGTTTATTCATAATCGCCCACCATTTTTGTCTGTATAACACCACATGTCTTATTGATGTCTGATAAAATTTTCCCTTCAACTTAAACAGTAATATTGTGTCACATAAAATTCATAATACACTCATCCATTTCAACCACCCAACTTGAATTCAATGACTTATCCCCTTCTTTTTCTCCATCATTTTGTATTATACATCCAAAATATTAAACTGTGTGACTTGTGGGATGATGTGATCTTCAAAACGCTTCTCATTTTGATGAACTTACATCCCATATACTTTGTCTTACTTTTGTTTAAGCAAAACTCGTGTGTTTCTAAGGGTCGTTTCCAAGTCTCCAACTTTTCATTTAATTCTTCATTCAACTTTACAAGTAGGACTATATCATCTACAAAAGCATACATCTTAGTGCTAACTCTTGGACGTGTTATATGAGTACATCTAAAAGTAAAGTAAAAAGGTAGAAGGGCCTAGGGTTTAATCTTGGGGCAATCCTATTGTAATGGAAAAATCGTTCGTCTCTCCATCATGTGTTTTCACACTAGTTGATACCTCTTTATACATATCTTAGATACCTTGAATATATGCAATCATAACCTCTTTATTCTATAGGGTTTTCCATAAAATCTCTATGAGTACTCTATCATTCGCCTTTTTCAAGTAAATGAAAATTAAGTGCAAATCTTGTTGGATCATCCAATACTCTACATCATACGTCATAGTAGATAGATCGCTTTCATGGTTGACCTTCCAAAATTAAAACCAAATTGATTCTCAATAATCTGAGTTTATTTTCTTAGTCTTTGTTCAATCTTTATTTCTCATAATTTCATGGTATGACTCATAAGTTTATTATCCTATAATTTTTACAAATTTGTATATCTCCATTGTTCTTATAAATTAGAACTTAAGTGCTTCTTCTATTCTTTATTCATTCTATTTTGACATTATAATTTTATTAAAGAGTTTGGTAAGAAATTTAAGCCTTTATCTCCAATAATTTTCCACACTCCAATTGGTATGTTGTCAGGCACAATCACCTAATTGTCACTCATCTTTTTCAACACTTCTTTTACTTCTTATTTTTGAATCCGACTGTAACAATTATAATTTCGATCCTATTCTCTAATGTCAAACATCTTAGAGTCTGACGGAATATCATATTCTTCATTAAATAAATTTTAGAAATACGTCTTCCACATATCCTTTATATCCTTTACTTGTACTAAGACTTTGTCTTCTTCATCTTTTACACACTTCAGTTAATCCAAATATCTTGTCTTTCTCTATTTTCCCTTAGTAAGCCTATATATAGATTTTTCTCCATTCTTGGTTCCTAAATATTTGTATAAACTATCAAAAGCTTGATTTCTTGATTCACTTATTTATCCACCACATTTACATTCATTGAGATCATACCCCTCACGCACAATCTCAAAACCTCTTGCCACGCTCCCCACTTGTCCATTTAGATACCCTCATAAGAAACTTCTTTTCTTGGGATATACCCTGAAACAAGTCTTCTAAATCTTTTTAACATTTTACTTTAAGGTGTTCCACTAATCCAAATTGAGGTGCATAAACATTAATAACATTAAAGGTGTATTATTTCACTTTAAATTTTAGGGTTATGATTTGATCTCATACTTTTTTCACATTCATAATATCTTTCTTTCACCCACTGACTACAATAATCCTCACCTCATTTCTCGAACTAAATTTGTCGGTATATCAAAACTTAAAATCCAAACTGTCAAATTCTTTCGCATTTTTCACAGTTTCTTGTAAACACATGAAATTGATCTTCCTATTAATCACAATGTCCATTATTTCTATAAATTTTCTAATAAATATGCATATGTTTCATTTTCCAAAATGAATTAGCGGACGTTTGGTTCATGGACTCAAAAGTTATTCTCAGAAATAAGTTATATGGAAATAAAAATCAAGAAATTTGATTTTAAGGTATTTTTAAGAAAATGTGTTTGACATATTATTTGATATTTATAGAAAAATTAGTAGTTATATTTTTTAATAAAAAATCATATGAACGAACATTCCCACATTTTTAAATATAAAATAAAATCATTGAAATTTTAGAAACTATTAAAAGTTTTTTATTCTTCAAGACATTTATATCTAAAAATAAATTTTCTTCAAACTCTTAATAAACATAATATAACCATTTTTTAAACATTACTCGTATTTTTAAAAATTTAATTCTTACACTTGAAAGAAACACCCCCCTTATACTCTTGTGAACCAACTTTTTAACTCATATTCGTTCAAGAAAATGTGAGAGTACTTGTTTTGAATTCAAGTACAATCAAACAACAACCCATCGATCTCTTTGACACCACACTCATGCCATATAATGCATGGCTTCTGAATAATTATTTAACGATTGACATTCAAATTGTTATACAGATATTTGACAAAACTTTAGGTTGTCTTGTCCATTATCTCAATTTTATTCACCGCCAATATAAAATACTGTCAAATAACGTGCATATATATTAAAGCCATTGTTTATTTATTTTAAGGCAAGTAGAGTATACTTTTCCGAAAAAAATAATTAGACATATTCATTACGACAGCTAATGATGAAGTTAGGCATGAGATTTAACAAATTAATTTAAGTTTAAGATTGACAAACATTTAACAACGTTATCTCCACTTGTCATAAAGTGAATGGTCATTTAGATATTCTCATCATCAATCTTAAATCTCCCAAATTAGTTGACTACCACTTCACCAATTCCATTTTCAACCTCAAACTCAAATTTCATTATACGAACACAACCACATATAAACACACGAATCTTTTGTTCTTGTCTTTGTTGTTTCAACACAAACTCAACATGAAAAACAACATCATCAACAACAACTACAGAAATCCATTTTGAATTCTTTCTCTATTGAATGGAGCTTTCTCTTACACTAACACCAAACCCTTGTTCAACTTCACTTGCTTTCTCTAACAAGATATGTGAGTTTCATCAATGGAAGAAAAGGGTTTCTTTCTTTGACGCTTCAAGAGTTGTTTCGGTTCGTTGTGTTAAAGCTTCTGCAGAGAGAACAGGTGAAACTATTGATGACAGAGGAGAGACTAGAACCGGGTTTACTACACCGGCTGCTATGGAGGTCACCACCACATTCAACCAAGGTTTCAATGATGCTGCTGCTGCTGACTTTCCTGTTTGGGAGAAAATTGGTGCTGTTGTGAGACTCAGCTATGGCATCGGTGAGAATTGTGATGATATCATGATGATAAAGTGTGGAAATTTATAGATACCCTTTTGTTTACTTTTATGAATAATGAATCTTTAGCTAATTGGGCTAAGTAAAAAGGAAAACTTTATATTTTTTGATTTTGATTGAATCAATGTTTTTCCAAAATGGGAAGTTTTTTAGTTTTTTTATGGAGAATGAATTCACTTGAATTAGATTATGCATCAATTTGGTTTTCAATGAGTAGTTTTGTTTCAGGGATTTATGGCGCGATGGCTGTTGCGGGGAGTTTTATATGTTCGATTACTGGGATTGATTCTCTTGGAGGTTTTCATCTTTCAATAGATGCTGTTCTTGAAGGACTTGGATATGCAGTTCCTCCAATTATGGCTCTTCTTTTTATACTTGATGTAAGCTCTTTTGTTTATACAATGATCATAAGATTGTGTTTCTCTTTTTTCATTTGAATTGAGGTTTCATCAACATGGTTATTATTAGGATGAAGTTGTGAAGCTATCGCCCCATGCCCGTGCCATTAGAGACGTAGAAGATGAAGAGCTATGGAGTTTTTTCTATGGCATGTCCCCATTGCAGGTAATTTGATATAACTTGGTACTTTTTGTGTAATGAGTTATCGTCAATACATTGCAACCGTTAAAATTGATGTAATTGATTTTAATTTACAGTTTATATTGATGGTTGCTGCAAGTTCAGTGGGAGAGGAACTCTTCTATAGAGCTGCAGTTCAGGTTTGTTTCAGAACTTCCGCACATGAATTTCATCGTATTTGCCCAAAGATGTTTGAGAAATATATTTTGGATTGCTTAAAATTTGGAGCAATGGAACTTGTATTGTATGTTTGAAACCATCTATATTGAAATTCTAATTGGAATTCTACAGGGAGCACTGGCTGATATATTTTTTCGAGGCAATAATCTTATGCAAGATGTTCGAGGAATGGCGTCTTTGGTACGTCTACCATTTTTTTTTATGTTTCAAATATTCGACGGTAACTGACTCAAAATTTATACGGTAATATGCAGACTGGAGTTCTTCCGCCATTTGTTCCATTTGCTCAAGCACTTGCAGCTGTACTTACCGCTATCCTTACTGGTTCTCTCTACTACGTCGCTGCCTCTCCCAAAGGTTACTTTTTCTTATATCCCATTTTACATTTTTCCTTTTTATGTAGCTTACTTTTTCTAGTAACCATCTTTTTTCTCGCTCTCTTTCAGATCCTACTTATATTGTTGCGCCCGTTTTACAATCTCCCGCCAGTCGTCAAGATTTGAAAAAGCTCTTTGAAGGTTCAATTCTTTTCTCATATTGCTTAACATTATGTTGTTCAATTCATATCTATCATGATTGTAAACATTTTAGGGAAGTGAGTTACAATTCTTATCAACTAACCCATGTTATCAATAGAATAAAGTCTCGAGTGATGATTATATTTGTCGTCTTGATATCTGCTTATTTTGTGCGTGTGATATCTCATCCCGATAATCCATTTCATTTTGGTTTGCAGCATGGTACGAGAAAAGGCAAATGAGGAAAATCTATTCACCACTTCTTGAAGGGCTATTGGCTCTCTACCTCGGTTTCGAGTGGATCCAAGTAATGATTTTATCTTTGAAAAATATTCATTATCTTTTGTCTATAATTTCTAAGCAACTGAACTAATTTGTGTTACTTGACAGACAAATAATATTCTTTCTCCCATTATCACACATGGAATATACTCTACTGTTATATTGGGACATGGCCTTTGGAAGATACACGATCACCGGCGAAAACTAAGACAAAGAATCCAACAGCTGAAATCAGAAGAAAGAAATTCCAACTAGATTTTGAAATTTTCTCCATGACTGATTTTTGTGGAAAATCTGTATATGTATTAGAGGTGTTAATAATGTAAACAAAAGATGTGTATACTTATATGTTAGGTGAGTTCTCATACCTATTGAATATGCAAAGTAAGTTTTGATTATAGGATTCTCTAATTTTAAATCATTAGTGTTTGTAATAAAAATTGGAGTAATCCAAAAGTTGTGTTAAATTTAATAAAATAGCATATCAATTTTCTCAACTCAACATGACTTCTAAAGTACACAATCATATTATACTGTTCGAAAGAGCACTTTTAGAAATAATGTTGTTTATCATAATTGAGGTAAAAAGTATAACTTTTTATTGTAAAAGTTACAAGTCATTTTGCAACAAAATTATTTTAAATTATAAATTGTTTTATAATTTTAATGCAACATTTATAATTTTTTTCATACTATATTTTTATTTATTTATTTTTTCTTCTTTCAGTTATTTTAATTTTTTCCATAATTACTAAAGGATAATATTGTAAAGTGATATATGATTTATATAATTAATTTTTTTTTATATAAAATAAATTAGGTTTTTTATTATATATTTTGGGCGAGTCCGATTGGTCCACTAATATAAAAAAATGTTATTATAAAAAATCTTATAAATTGGGATAGAGAGAATATTATTTACAGGTTTGTTAGGTACTTAGATCCACCTAGTTCTGTCATCCTCCTCTCTCATAATCGTTTTCATTTTTCTCAAGTTTCAAATTAACTTCTGGAGGAGTTAAGGCTTTGATTCAAGTATGTTAAATATTTTCAACATATCCAATGCATATTTTCGCTAGTTCATGATTAATCCTTGTTGGGCAGTTTCCACAAAGTCCATTAGCAAGAAATAAGTCAATTTTTCAAAGCCAGTCATTTCAAATTCACTCATCAATTGGTTTTTGAATTCTTTAATTTCAGTCAATATATCATCTACATATAGGCAGATTGACAGCAATTCTAAGCCTTTTCCTTTCTTCACATAAACTACATAGTCTGATTTACATTTCAGAAAAATTTGTTGTTCTAGAAATCTATTTATCCTCTAATTGCAGGCTGTTGGCGCTTGCTTACACCCATAGATGGTCTGGTTTAATTTGAAGACAAATTCTTCCTCACCTTTGATTTTAAAATCTTGTGTCACATATACAAATTCTACCAAAGACACATTCATGAAGGCAGATTTCACATCTAAGTGAAATAAAGATCAACCTCTTTCATATGTAATGATTGTTGAAATTGTAATTCTTTGTGTCAAAAAAGATTGTTGCTCGACACAAAGTGCGTCGAAAAACCTTGTCTGTCGAATTGTATGTAGTTGTTGAAATGTTCTGAGCAAGTTGCTGTACATAGATTTCGATTTAGATCTAAAATAGGTATTTTGGACTTTTGTGTTTTGAGTTTTGACTTATGGACAAAGTTAACCTAAAACTATAAATAGAGGGACTAACTCCTATTATTAAAATAACTTGTATTCACGGAATTTTACAATTTCAAAGTGAATAAAGATTTTCCACAATTTGTAGGCAGAAAGTTATTCTGCAGAAACCCTAATCACTTTTCTTTTTTAATTTTCTTTTCATTGTCATTGTGTGGTGATAACAATCTTGTTCATCAAGATTGATAGAAATTCTCCATAGATTTTGGTGGATTTCCAACATCTGGTATCAAAAGCTCCAGTTGAGCGATTCAAGGCAAGCAAGAACTATGATAATGAATCATCAACGGGCTTTTCCAGCAAGTCTTCCAATTCTTAAAGCTGATAACTATGAGAATTGGTCCAAACCGATGAACGTTATTTTTTGTTGTCAAGATCTTTGGGATCTTGTGAAACATGGATTATAACCGCTTGAAGAAGATGCTTCAGAAGAAGAAGAGGCAAAATACAAAGAATCAAAGAAGAATTATAAAGCTCTATTTATAATTCATCAATGTCTAAGTCCAAATAATTTCAAAAAGGTTAGTGATATAGAATCTACAAAAGAAGATTGGAAAGTTCTGAAGAAATCATTTGGAGGTGCTGAGAAGGTGAAAGAGGTAAGGTTATAAACTCACAAAAGAACATATGAATTACTTCTAATGGAAGATAGTGAGAGCATATCTGATTCCTTCATTAGGGGACTACTACGGAAAATCCATTTAACAACGGTTGAAAAAGATATATAACAACGCGGACCCAGACGTTATTATGTAGAGTATCGTTGAATATATGATACTTACAATCACTGTCAAGTGATCGTTGTAGTATTCTACATAGCGCGCGACATATCACAACAGTTATTTAATCCAACAGTTGTGATAAAACTTAAGGTCCCAGGTTCGATTATCAGCGTCAATATTTTGTAATTTATATTATTTTGGTTACCATTCAATATACAATCACGGTTAAGTTTTATAACAGCTGTCAAAACTTCCTCTGTTTTAAATTTTCAATTCTCTGCCTCTCAAATTCTTCCCATTTTTATCCTTTAACTATTACAACCATATCAGATAATTTACAGCAACTCGTATTTTTGTTAATCATGTAGAAAGAGCATAAAAACATCTAACATTGTGCATCAAAAGCCAAGATTAATATTTACATCAAAGATAATATATTTAGGTCAAAAGTAATATTCACAAAATCATTTACAGAAATTAATAAGTCATTCGCACATCTCAATAAATCAAATATCATGACCCTTAAACACATTGTGGATATACGTCCAATGCCTATGAAGATCGACAAAGTCCTCAACAGAGAATGGGGTTACGTCGTTAAACATCTACATAAGAAAGAGCAAAAAAGTGTTTAAAATATATGACAACTTATATATATTAATATATGTAAACATATTATGACATATATTGTCATACCGCATTTTTTACCCCTAATCTGTTTATTCATAAAATCATATGCATTTACATTATAAATAATTCATTCATTTGATCTCTTAAAAAACATGGGATCAAAAGACTCTTGGCATTAGGGTTCTTCCTATGGGTGGAGGTTGCCACCTCTCTCAATATGATTCCATTGGTTCATTAATCTATCTTGGTACGAAACCAGAGTTTTGGATCTACAAGCATCATGAATATTTTCCTTAGCAAGATTCCTCAAGATACAAAGTTTTCTTTATTAGAATTTTCTTCGAAGAACAAGTGCAATAAGGTTTAACTTGCGTGCTTAAGATTTCATCATGACTTCATCGAGGGTGTTCTTGAGTTAGAGTTTTGTTCTTCTCACCATCTTAAGCTTTCATCATCAATATGCATTCAAGATCCAGAGAATAAGGGTTTCTCCTATTTTGTGCCCGAGCATTGGCTTTGGTTATATTCAACCATGTTTTATTGAGCTAGGTTTCTGCCTCCAGGCTACCAGGATTATCAGTCTTTCCTCGTTTGGTATAATTCTTTATAACCTTAAGTATTATCCTATTTTATGTTTAAGCTTGCGAATATTCATCAATAGAAGATCATGGTTGGGGTTGCATGTTAAGGCTATCTTTTTCTATGCTTCAAGTCTTGTCTTCATCTACAATTCTTCAAAGCACTCCTTTTATGGACTTGAAGAATGAATTTCTAAAAGAGTGAACATGATTTGAGGAATTCATTATGTTCAATACATCTCAAATGGATTGGATTTGTTTGAAGTTTTGCAAAGTTGGAAGGTTCATGTATTTGGATTACTTGGAACCTAAGATGGAATTTAAGGTGTGCCACAAATTCGAACATTTTTTTATCCTTTCAAGTTCAAGCCTTAATATTCATTTCAATATCAAGATCGTACGAATAACTTTGAGACATATATCATCATTGATTCAAGATTGAAAGTTCAAAATTTAAGAATTATTCCATTCCAAATTCATTCTCAAAAAGAGTCCAACTATTCATGATATTTCAAGTTTTTTTATTCAAGTTCATACAAATAAAGTTCAAGCTCCAAATGTCCTTCAAGAATGCAAGGCAAGTTACCAAAATTCCAAGTTTTAAGCCCATTGATTTCAAGACATGCAATATCATAATTTCAAATCTCATTCAAGGTTATCCAAAGTTCAACATCATTCAATTTTTCAAGACATTATTAAAATTTCAATTCCAATTCAAGAATATTTAAAATATACATCAAAATTAAGTTCAAAGTTTCAAGAAACCATTGTTTCATTCAAATTCATCACCATCCAAAATCCAACAATCAAAAGTTCATACAAGATTCATTACAAGTTATCATGTTATGCTACAAACAAGAAATTACAAGGGATTTTTGTTATCAATCCTAAAACTCAAGTTTCAAATGCTAAATTTTCAAACCAGTTTTCATTTTCCATAATGAATCTGTGACAAGAATTCTTCCAACAAGGCAAAACACCAACTGGTTCACGAATTTCCCCAAACCTGCATTAAATCCACGGGCTGCACTAAAAAATCAGTTGAAAACTTAAACAGAAAAAATGCAGAAAATATAAAAATCAGAAAAATAATGAAATACAATAGTAGCTCAAGATAAATCCCACAAAAGGAAAAAAAAACTTCTTAACAAGCTTCAATCAGAGTTGATCCTCACCATTGAATTTTATAACAAAATTTTAAAATCAAAGGTCAAGATCAAATTACCTCTAACAAACTTTTCAGCTCTATAAAACACAGAATTTCTCTTCCAATCATGGGGATCACGATTTTTTTCCTGCAGAAACTTCTGAGAGAAGCTTCAGAATTCTCTTTGAAATTCTCTGAAGCTTCAACAATTCATTCTGCAATTTCTCTCCAAAAACTGATCTCAGGAAACTTCTTCTGCATTTTCTCTGCATCTCCAATCTTCACGTATAACAGCATCAATATTCATCGATCATCATTGCTGTATCAACGCATCTGCAACCATAACAACTTCGCATCAATAAATTCACAACTATACACATCACAAACACATAGAAATAGAAGAAGGAATAGGAAGAAGCGATTCGGAAACAGTTGAAAAAGCATAATAATACCTGAGATCCATTGAAGCTCCAAGGACTTCTCTTCGTCTGTGGCACGTTTGAAGCGCCATCGGAGCGACTCTGATTGGTAAGCTTTGAACCTTCATTTATCGTCACTTTCTTACTTGATTTTCAATAAGGTGATTATTGTTTGAACTTCTGTAAATTAAAATCTTGAGATCACATAATCGTAAATCGTTTCGAATGCACATTTTAGATTTTAGAGCTTTCATTTGCTTCGGTTGAGAGATGAGAAGCATGACGTTAACATTGTTTTGGAGCTGAAGAACAAAATTAATGTGTCAGAATTGAAACAGATCGAATGAAGCGTTGAGGTGTTGATTCGTGAGAAAATGTAGCCGCAAAGAAGAAGATGTAGCAGTGGAGATGTGAGATGGAGCATATAAAAGTGATACGGTGAACTGAAGTGAGAATGATTCCCTGATGGAGACGGAGAGTTGATAGTGGATGTAGGTTATTTTTCACGATGTGGCTTTGGCGGACTGTGGTACACATCGAAAGTGATGAAGGAGAAGAAGTCCATGATGCTATAATCTGAAGGAGAACTAAGTGAATCGCGCGTAGGGAAGAGAGGTTGAGTCGTAAGCGTGAAGCCTAGACGATGAAGCCAGGCGGTGGTCTCATGGCGGTGTTGTGTTGAATGAATCAGAGTGAGAACGGAGAAGGCAGAGTCGCTGTGACAAAGTCGAGTGAGTCAGAGATATTGTTGAGCCGCGCCATTCAAAGTAGAGATAGGAGTAGGAATTTGTGGTTGATATGTTGATACAAGGAGAGTGATGACGGCAGCGGATCGGAAAAAGGCACGATTGAGTTAGAAGATAAGAGAGGGAACTCTATTTACAACAGAGTTGAAGTGTCACGACTTCTTAACCTAACAACTCCGAACCAAATGCATGTGTTTTATTCATTTTTTTTATTTGTTTTTTTAATTATGTTTTCTTGAAAATAAAAAAATGAATGAATAAATAAAGATAAGAGATGGATGGTATTTTGCTTGAGATTTAACCTTCATATCGGGCATGCGCCATTGTTAGTGATCCACACGCCTTATGCCTGTTTTTTGTTGTTGTTGATTGAACACACCAATTGCATTGCTGCCAAAAATCCTCTTGGACTCACTCTAGATTGGACCTTAGCACCTCAAATTCTTGGCATACCATCTGATTCAGAACCTCATACCTCCCTCTTTTTCCCATTCTTTTCATTTTTTCTTTTCCATTTTTATGGTTTAGTTTTATTTTCTTTTATTGATTTTATGATTTTATATATATATATATATATATATATATATATATATATATATATATATATATATATATATATATATATATATATATAATATATATATATATATATATATATATATATATATATATATATATATATATATATATATATATATATATATATATATATATATATATATATATATATATATATATATATATATGCTTTAGGAGTATTTTAGGATTTAATTAGATTTTATTCCTATTATTTCTTCATGTTCTTAATCTCTTTTTAAGTCAATTTTAAACATCAGATTTTATGTGTTTTCTTTGGGTATATTAATCAAGAAAGATGCTTGATTATTGAAGATTATCTTGTGTTGAAAGGACATGCTCCTTTAGGATTTCATGAGATGATTAATCTTTCTTTTGATCGTCTTATGTTGATTAGACATTAGAATGTTAATACAAGCATGGTAACATTAGGATAGCTTTCCCTTTAGCTCAACATTAGGACCATTTGAGATTTTCCCCAAATAAAATACTCTAACTCATTCAAATCATTTTGTGCTCTTTGCGCACTTTTCTTTTTAAAAATCTTTTCTCAGAGATTAGACTCTTGTCGATTCTTGTAGTAATGCAAGATACTATACTTCTATGATATGTTAGTGAAGTGAGATTGTTTTCCACTTGTGTGTTGAGCGAGGCTTTGTTGATTTTGAAATCCAAGCTATATCCTCCACTTTGATATGATGTAAACTCTCCTTTCTCATAATCGTGGGTAGTAAGTATGTTTTCCACCCGGATATGACGATGATGTTTTGTCTCTTAAAATTAACCAACACACTTGTGTTTTAAATTTTTTAAGGAGAACTACGAGTATCCTAATCCCCTATTGCACAAAAGGTGGTACGTAGGCACTAAAGGTTCGCAACCTAATCCCCTATACACAAATTTTTAAAGGAGAACTACGAGTACCCTAATCCCCTATACACAAATTTTCAAAGAAGTTCTTGCGGAATACCGTAGATCGTTTAAAGGTGCTAATACCTTCCCTTTACATAACCAACCCCCAAACTTAGATTCTCTCCCCCTCTTTTTGGGTTATTCACTCTTTTCCCATTCCTTTGGAAATAATAAAGCGCCGTTGCAATTTTTATTTGATCTGTGCGAGTTAATTCAATCCAATGGATTAGTCTCAATATTTCTACCGCTACAATATATACCTTATCCCATGTATCAACAATGCCGACAAGGACAATGTTTAACATGTGTTTCATGACATAATACCCATACTCGTATGTCCCAGGTTGTTTCCTCGTCTACAAATGAATGTAACCACACATTAATGTAACCATACATGAATATAAATGAAAGAAACATGTAATTGGGCCACTTATTTTAAGAGTGATCCATAAGGGCTTTCTTCTAACATTGTTCATCATATTCACTTGCTCCACAACACTGTACATTGAATATGAATAAACATATTGCATGCTAAACTACT